GAGAGAGAGAGAGAGAGAGAGAGAGAGAGAGAGAGAATCTTAAGCAGGCTCCACCCTCAGCATGGAACCCAGCGCAGGACTCAATCTCACACCCATGAGATCATGACCTGAGGGAAAATCAAGAGTTGACACTCAACCAAATGGAGGGCCAACTACAGGGCACCCAAGTGCCTCTACAATTCTTTTTATGTCTTGCTTTTATTTTACGTTTTTTATGTTTAATTTTATATGTTTGTTTATATTTTCTTGAGGGTTTTATGTCAATATTATAAGGTATATTGGTCTGTAGTTTTCTTTTTTGTGATGTCTTTGGAAGCTCCTTGGATTGTTGTAAGCCTTTAATTACTTTCCTGAGTTCTGAAAGAAGTGTACTTTTTGCCATTTTTATCAGTGTTTTGCCTGCTTCTATGGAGGAGTGGGTTTTTTGAGATCTTTAATCTATCATTCCAGATGTGCTTCTGTCATTTATTTCTAATTTGGTATTCTACCTTATTGATTAGTAGGACTTTTCCATTTAACTTTTTTTTTTTTTTTAATTTTTTTTTTCAACATTTATTTATTTTTTGGGGGGGACAGAGAGAGACAGAGCATGAACGGGGGAGGGGCAGAGAGAGAGGGAGACATAGAATCGGAAACAGGCTCCAGGCTCTGAGCCATCAGCCCAGAGCCTGACGCGGGGCTCGAACTCACGGACCGCGAGATCGTGACCTGGCTGAAGTCGGACGCTTAACCGACTGCGCCACCCAGGCGCCCCTCCATTTAACTTTTTAATTGATTCTGGATACAAGTCCTTAGTCAAATATATGCATTGTGAATATTTTCTCCTAGTTCATGTCTTACCTTTCACTCTGTGAAAAAAAATCTCATCTTGTACTGTGGTGCTCAATGGAAAGATTTTGTCATGTAGAGGAAGATTAATCACTCTTGTTTTCCTGACAGGTAGTCAAGAGTATCTACTTGTTCAAGTAGAGAAGGGTGGGCAGTGGGAATTCATGGTCATCATGCTATGTGATGTCATTAAAATTCTTCATATCATGTTATTTTATTTTTCTGTTTTTATTACTCAATATATGATATACTCTTGTTGCAAAACACTGAAGTGAAATAGAAATAAATGGCATAACGTTGGTCGTCAACACTTGGTAGATCCTTCCTAAACTTTTCCTATGATTTTGTACACAGACACTGACCCATCCAGATACACACACACACACACACACACCCAATTAGTTGATGGAAGATTTATAAATGGGATCTACTGGCTATATATTTTGTGACTTTATGATTTTCCAGTATTATTTTTAAAGGTTGTGTAGTATTCACTAGCAGAAATACCATGTTTTGATGAAGATTTAGATTATTTCCAATTCGTTATGCTGAAAAGCAATGCTGGAAAATCTTTGTCCATATACTTCTAGATTTAAGTGTAAATATTTCCAAAGACTTGAATCCCAGAAATAGAATGGGTAGGCCAAATCATAGGAACTTTCTATCATTTATATAAGTGGCAAATTGATTTCCAGAAAGGCTATCTCAAGTTACACTTTCACCTAAAGTTTATAGAAATATATATTTTCCTGCATCCTTACCAAATAATGCAGATAAACATTTTCTCTGATCTTGACAGTTGGACGGTTAAAATATATTTTAAAGTTTTATCTGTATTTCCTTAATTACCTTTGACATTAAGAATCTTCTCATGTGTCCCTTTTGATTTCCACTTCCATGAATTGTTTATTCATACCTTTCAACTATTTTGACTTCTTAAAATTGATTTATATATTCTCTTTACATTTTCTGGAGAGTAATCATTACCTATTAAATATGGTGTAAACAATTTCTCAGTCTTATTGCTTCTATTTTAATTCTGCTTAGACTGTCTTTTTTATATCATTTTTTTAAAAGAGGGGTGCCCAGGTGACTCAGTTGGTTAAGCATCTGACTCTTGATTTTGGCTCAGGTCATGATCTCATGGTCTCATTAGATCAAGCCCCACACTGGACTCTGCATTGACTGCGTAGAACTTGCTTGAGATTCTCTCTTTCCCTCTCTCTCTGCAGCCCCCCCAAATAAATTTAAAAACTTTAAAAAAAAAAAAAAGAGACTGTCTGATTTAACCTTTTGCTTCTCAAATGTTGTCTTGTCTAGGAAGGCCTCCCTCAACTCAGTATCATCAACACATGTTCCTATATTTCCTTCTAATGATTTTAGAATTTTGCTTTGTAATTTTCTTTTCTCATTTTTATGGAGAGTGACAAGTTGCCTTGCAACAGGGATTTTGTTTCCAGTCTTAAATACCTCACTTATGGGGCGCCTGGGTGGCGCAGTCGGTTAAGCGTCCGACTTCAGCCAGGTCACGATCTCGCGGTCCGTGAGTTCGAGCCCCACGTCGGGCTCTGGGCTGATGGCTCAGAGCCTGGAGCCTGCTTCCGATTCTGTGTCTCCCTCTCTCTCTGCCCCTCCCCCGTTCATGCTCTGTCTCTCTCTGTCTCAAAAATAAATAAACGTTAAAAAAAAAAAAAAAATACCTCACTTGTAAATGTATGAACTTTATGGTGGT